AAGCAGAAAGGAGGAATCGGCCCCAGGAGGCCAGGCAGCAAGCAGGAAGGCCCCAGCCATGCAAGAAGGGCAAGTGCAGGAACCGTGGGAGGCGGGGGTGAGTGCAGCAGGGACACAGAGCGAGAGGCAGAAAGTAAGGAGAGGCAAGCCAGGAGACCGGCAGGCCCGCTCACCAAGGGCCCTTGTGCCTTGCCTTGGGGCGTGCAAGGGGCAAGGGGCTCTGCCAGGGGTTATAAGCGATCAGAAGGGCACAGGTGAAGATGAAAACCCAGATCCTGCCCTGCCGTTGCTGGCAGGCACCTTGGGATGACTCCACTCTGCACTCTGTGAAACGAGGGCCATGGAAGTCTGCACATGCCTGGAGGGTCAGGAGGCCCCACCTGCCATAAGCACAGCCTGGGAATCCCCACGAGAGCGGAGCCCCGGCTCCCAGCTGCATCCCCAGTGCCCGGAACAGCTCCAGGCGCAGAGCAGGTGTTCACCACAGGTCGGTTCCTACATTTATGAGTTTGCAGGTCCTCTGGTGGGCAGTGTGGGAATGGCCTGACTGCCTGTTGGGGGCTGCACCGGGCCAGGAAGCTGCCCCACCTGGGCGGGGGTGCAGGAAACCCCACAGGAAGTCCCCTTGTACAGCCACTCCCCTGGAGACCTCAGCCAGAGCCTGTCAGAGCTGACATCAGTCTAGGGCCCTCATGTGTGTTGGACCCAAACTCACTGCCTCCACAGCCATCCTTCCCATCTCCTAATGGCCTGGGTCTTAGAAAGCCCTGCTGTGGGACGCCTGCTGCCCTCCCGTGCATCCTCGGCTTGGGCGTAAGGCAGAACACATCGAGGGCCCATCAGGGGCAGGGAGGCTGAATGGCAGCAGACCCCGCTCTATGGCCCCATGGAGGGGTGGAAGAGGGCGGCCTTTCCTCTTCTGTTGGGCAAGGGTGGCTGAAGAGGACAGGGAGTGGGAGGAGGGAGCACACCACCCGGCGGGCTGGGTTTCCGTGTCCTCTCCTTTGACCCATGCACCCTAAGAACAAGAAGAGCCACCAGCCTCAGGCAGGAGCTGCTTCCGTGTGCCAGGTCCAGTCTCCAGCGAGAACTCGAGGGCAGAGGGGCCGGAGCCTGCAGAGACAGCCCCGCCCCAGCCCCCAGCCCCACCCTCTGGCTCACCCAGGCCGGTCTTGATCTGCCCTCAGGCATTTGCTTCTGCGGCCCCACCCCCACTGCAGGCACCGACAAGTCTTCATTCTGACATTCAACCCCACTTCCATTTCTAGCCCCAGATGCCACCATGGGCCCTTTGATACCCATTTCAGCCCAAACCAGCCTGACCCATCTCCTACGACCCTCTGAGACACCTCTACATGGTTAATATGCTCTTTCTCTGGTGTCACCTGCTGCTCTAATCCAGGAGGGCTGGAGCCAAGCCCTGTGTTCTCAAGACCCCCCCATGGCTCAGAGCACAGTCCTGGCTTGCTGAGAGATGAGGGCAGGCCCTGGCAGGGCTGTGCGCCAGGCCCTGGCCACTCATTCCACGTGGCCCCTATTAAGTATCATATCCCCCCTGGGCCTGTCTTCTCGTCTATACAATGACAGGATCAGACTAGAAGGATCTAAAGACATTTTCCAGCTCTAAGGTTCATTCATTCATTCATTCAGCATCATTTACTGAGCCCTTATCTGTACTGGCTTTGTTCCACATCCTAGGGATACAGCAGTGGCCCAAGGAGCAAGTACCCTCATGGGGGAGCCAGGGACAAAGAAGCAGGTAGGTATAGAATCTTCTGCTAGTGATACAAGGACCATGACAGAAGAACAAATGGCAAGGGGTCAGAGAGCAATGAGCAGGCTGTCAGGAAAGGCTTTTTGGAGGAGGTGACATTTGAGCCAGGACCTAGATAAAGAAGAACAAACCAGATTCTGTGATTCTGTTTGAACAGAAAATGAAAAGCTATTACTGACCACAGCATGGAGTGGAGAACCCAGCTTAGGCTCAGGACACCTGAGTTCCCATCCCAACTCTGCCGCCCACTCCTCTGTGACCCTGGGAAAGTCGCTTCCCCTCTCTGACCCTCAGTGCCTTCATCTGTGCCTGAGACAGGTGAGTGGCAACTGGAAGCTTCCTTGAAACAGTCCCAAGAGTCTGCATTTCCGAGCATTCAGGTTCTGACTCAGCTCCAGCCTCTTAACTTTTGAAGTTGATAAGGAGCCGCAGCACGGCTGGCTTCCAGCCCACAGGGCCTTCCAGGAACAGTGAGGAAGCCGCGGGACAGGGCAGTGCCCCTGAACTCACCTCTCAGCCCGCAGCTGCTGGGCCGCGGCCATGGCTGTTAGCGGTCCAGGGAGTGGGTGGCGGGGGGCCTCACCCAGCCAGGCCCAGGCCGAGGTAGGCTCTCCCTCACCTCCAGCCACCCTGTTTCTCGGCTGTGGGCCCAGGAGTCCCCAGAAGCCGCCTTTGGGGAAGGCCCCAGCCCCGCTTCTCTCGGCCTAGTAAGTCTCCTCCTCCCGGCTCTCTGGGTCTAGTCTGTGGCCGGCACTTCCTCTTCCCCACCGCCCAGTTGCGCTGCAATTAGCGAAGTGCTCACTCTAGGATGCTGGGTTTGCAGGAATCTGCTGACTTGGGGTCCTGAGGACTTCCTCGAAGCCAGTTCTTAGTGTCAGGCCTCAGCTGGGCAGCAGAGCCCCACTCCATTAGAGATGGGGTCCCAGTACTTGCTCAGCCACCAAGAGGCCTTTCACCTTGCCAAGTCACTTCTCACCCTCTGACTCATCCAATCCAATCCACGTACTCTCACTGTCAAGCCTTTGCCCAGGCTATTCCCTAGGCCTGAAGTGGGAGCCTCAGGCTTGCCTTCCATCCCTCAGCTCAAAAGCCACCTCCTCCAGGAAGCCTCCCTGGTTTCCTCAACAGAGTTAGTGCTCACAGGTACCTCTGTTGTATTAGAGTGTGAAGGTGGTTAATGCTTCTGTCTTCCTTCCCCTAGGGCTCGGGGTTATACTATCCTCATCCATACATCCCTGGGCCTACATTGGCCTGGCATAGCCAATCCCCCCAATAGGACTGCCAATCAGAGTAAGCTTCATGTTGCACACTGACCACACTGTTCCCTGCATACACTCTGTAACCATTGCACCCCGTACCCAGGAGAAAGCCCAGATTCCTAGCCCTGCCTCCCTCCAAAGCTCTGAAGTCCCTGCTGGCATTCCCAGACCCCTCCCCGGGCTCTGTCGTTCCCACACTGGCCTCCATTGCATTGCTAGAATGTACTAAGATGACTGTCCCTCAGGACCATCATGTATGCTGTTCTGCTGCCAGAATGCTCTTCCCTGCCTCCTATAGGGCTCAGCTTGGAAGTCACCTCCATAGCAAGGCCTCCCTGACCCCTCATCCTAAATTAACCCCTCACTATGATATTTTCTCCTAGATCCCTCCACTTTTACTTCAGAGCATTTGAAACTATTGTAATTCACATTTGTTTGTGTTTTTATATGTCTAGCGACTGCCTTCCTGGCTAGCACAGCGCCTAGCACATTGCAGGTGCTCAGCCAGCGTTCAGGGAATGACTGGAATGCTTCTAGGTGGTTCTGTGGCTGCTCTAGCATGTATGGCTATTGGATTCTGAAGGGAGCTCTCCGAACGAAGTCCACAGCCACGCCCAGTGACCCCAGTCACAGACACACTCACCCACTCACATTCACAGTCATTCACTCATATGCTGCACATGAGCAGAAAGAAAAGCAGCAATGTTTTTCATGTGAAACCTTCATTAAGAGTATTTATCAATGATACCTTAAAAAAAAAAAAGGAAAGCACTTAAAAAAAAAGGTAAAAACCATGTTAGCTCTCAGGCTGTACAAAGACAGCATGTGTGGGGAGCATAGTTGGTCAGTGGGGTACCAATTATAATAAATATTTGTTTGACACTTAAAAAAAAAAGAAAGGCAACAGAGAAGAGATAGATAAGGAATTTCTCAGCCATGGGTCTGGGGTCACTGCAGGAATTAATACTCTCTAGGCCATGAGTGGAATGAGGGGTATGTACACCAAACCAGAGCCTCAAGCCTGAAACATGCCCTGAGTGGGGCCCAAATCTAAGCTACCCACACCGTGTAGAAATCCCAAGCTAAGGCATTCCATGAAAACAGGGCAGAGTCCAGGAGCCTGCAGGGGCTGCAATGCCGCCGTGTGAGCAAATTGGAACCAACATTCCAAATTATGTAAAGAATACCTATGCCATGAAAGACAGCTTATAGACTCAGCAATCTGAAGGAGTCACACGTGCAGAAGTAGGAATAAAACAAACGACAACTGGCCCAGTCACTAGTGTCTCAGGGTGCCGCCTGGTCCAGAGGATGACACAGTGAAATGTTGTATCTATATGACGGCATGCAGTGTGTACCGTAGTGACATCATGAGAGGTTATATTTAGAGGCTGGAATCTAGGTGGGCCCATAATGAGCATAAACATGAATACATTTATAACACATGGACTTGGGCAAGCTGGTATGTCATTTCTGACCCTTCCTTCACTCATCTGAAATGAAATGGAGTCATAGTAAGAATTCATGAGAGAAATGTATGAAAAGTGCCTGGATTCATGGGAATACTCTTGGGCATAATTTTCAGTGTGTGTGTGCTTTGGTTAGGACAAGCCCTCAAGTTCACTTTCTTAGGTCTCTCGAGGTCTTGCCTTCCAAACCCCTGTCCCCTCGACGCCCAAGAGGCCTTGTGTGACCTTGACTCAGCCACTGGGAAGCCACCTCTGCAGGGGCTGAGGAGAATGAGGTTGTCCAGGGAAGGGACCAGGACCTGTGGGGGCCAGCTCTTTCCCTCCCCTGCCCCTTCTCTCCCTGTCTTCTGTCCCTGCCCATGGTTTTGCTGAATATGGGTATTTCTCTGGCTCTGCATACACAGAACGCTGGTGCTAATTTTATGCCCAAGCTCTGATACAGTGTAATTTGAGGCCAGACACTCTGTCAGCAGTGGGCTCCCATCCTGCTGTGCTGCGGTTCCCACATCTTCTACTCCACCCCCACGGTTTCTGCTGCTGCAGAGGATGGAGACGGAGACAGAGGACTAGCCAGGAAGAGGAGCCAGACTTTAACGCATTCCACTAAGCAAGTATTTACCGAGCCTTTTGGGGTGGGTACAAAGAAATGCCTGAAGTGGCCTCTCACATATGGAGAAGCGACTTTGGATAACCTCCACTTCCCCCAGTATGTGAGTAAACAAGTCACTGAGCAGTCGCAGTTGGGTGGCTCCCTGCCTATGCACTAAAGCTCAGATACTTTACTCATAGAAGAAATGTATTTACTCTGGCCTTCCCTTCCTGCCAGGTTACTTGGAGAGCACACTTTACCTGACGCTGACAACGCAGAGACTTGAAGCAGCAAGTTAGGAGGAAGAAAACCGCTAAGGGCGATTGGAAGCAAATGACAGTTAAAGGACATTCTGACAATGACACAGGATGGAATGCAGAAAAAAATAAGCTCAAGAACTCGAATTGGAGTTAATGCCACGGACTGTCCAGTGAGGGGGCATTGCTGCATTGTCAAGGTTTACTGATGATCAGTCATAGCCGCATCTCCAAGAAAGCTCAGTACACTCAGACCAGACCCGAGCGACTCCCAGAGCCTGAGCAACGACTGGATCTAAGTCACAAATGCACAGCACTCTTCAAACCTTCCGCCTTTGGGTGCCGGGGTGAGAGAAAACACAGTGCTCGGTTTACAGGTAAGGAAACCCACCTCTGCATAGCCAGGCTCAGGGCTAAGAGCTCCAGCAGCAGGAAATGGAAGCAGGGGCTGGGGACAGGCAAGCTTCTTCTTCAGAACCAGGAGATGCCCCAGGCGCTCATTATGGGAACTCAGCAAATGCCCGCTGCCTAAGTCAGTGACTCGCCTGGGAAAGAGAGGGGAATCCCAGATTAGACTGAGCAAGATTCCTGGGGTTTCCTCATACACTGAATTCCCCAAACCTGACCCACATGTGTCTCCTTTTATAATTTATGAGGGGAGCTTCACTGGATTGCCTCCCGGAGCCATAAACAGCCATCCATGGCAGGCCCCCAGGAGTGGTATTTGAAGACAGGGAGGGGGTGGATGGAGCCAATCAGACAGCAAGCTCCCTGAAGGCAGAGGGCCCAGCCCTTCACCTGATGCCCCAGTACGCAGCACAGCTGGGGCTGGGGCTCAGGTGCCCTGGCTCTGGCATGCACTAACCTCTCTGACCATCGGTTCATTTTGCTAAATAGAAAAAACATTTGCTTCATACGACTACCGCATTATTCGTTTGTTCAAACGTATTGAGGGCCAGTTATGTACCATACAGCTACTGTGTGCCCAGCTCCAAATGGAAGTCATTGTTCTTGTGATACATACCTTCTGGAGGTGTGTTACATAAGATGATGAATGCCAAGAGCTTAGTACAATGCCCAGCCCATGGAAGGTGGTCAGTAAAGTATAGGTGCTAATATCATGGATGACTTCCTTGATGTGGCTTGGTCCCTTCTTGGTCTATCTCTCCTTGCACACCTTGCTTCCCTCTGCCTTAAGATTCATTACATTACATTTAAATTTCCCCCCATTTCTCATCCACTCTCACTGCACTTGTGGAAATGGCTCTGCACTCAAGCAAAATGTTGACAAGAATAGACCACCAGGGGGCACAGCGACACAGCAACCCGATTCCTCTGGAGAAGGAATGTTAGAACCCTTAATAGAAAGATCAGTCCAACTGGAGGGTGGAATTGTGAGCTAGCCTGTCAGAACCGGGCCTGCTGGATCCTACTGCCTTCTCCAGACAGCCCCATCAGTCAGAATCTGAGCCGGACTCATGGGAAGATGCCCCCAGGGGCTAAAAATCCTGAATCTCCTCCCCAATGATCATAAATATCTTAACAACCGAGATGCACTGAGTTTACTCCTTAACCACTCTTGCCCCATAAACTTGCAGGAGTACATGAGTCGGCACTTGCAAATCCCTTAGAACAGTGCCTGGCTCAAAGTCCAGCTCAGTACATGTTGGCTCTGATTATTGTTACTTAATCCTCACACCAACCCTCATAAAATATGTCATATTTTCATCCCTGGTCTGGAGATGAGGAAACCAAGGCTCTGTGGAATTAGGAGACTGAACCAAAGTGACTTAGTGAGTGAGTGGCTAAGTATGATTTTGACCTCAAATCTGGCTGATTCCAAAACCTACACTGTTATTACTGTGCTATACAGGTCCCCATTCGCTCGTTTATTCATTCCTTAAGCATTCATTTAGCATCCACTCTGTATAGATAAAGGCAACTGAGATGAATCTGGCATAGTTGCTGCCCTCAGGGAGCTCACACTCCTGCTGATGTGCACACACAATATGCATGCACATGCATATGCACATATACAGGCAGGCAGGCAGGCATGCACGTGCATATGCACCAGCATGCACACAGCCATGCATGCACGCGGAGAGTGCACATAGAGACATCCATAAACATACATGCACAGAGAGACCTGTGTATTACATACATGCCCATACATACACACTTGCCTACAGAACAAAGTGCAGTTGGGGGGAAACCAGGAGATACATGTTAAGAATCAAGTTTCCCTGGTTCCATACCCAGTGCTGTCTTCAGTCCCCAGAGGGCTACAAACACAAATGTCTCCAGGGGCCTGGCAGGTATGCTCAGTTTCATATGGAGCCTGCGGGGGAGGCAAGGCAGGTAGGCTGTGGCTAAGGTCTGCCTATCCATGCCATCACCTTCTGGCACAGAACTCCAAGGACTGCAAGAATTCTAAATTTGAACTTGGATTTTCAGCTTGTCATGAAGGTATACTTGTCAAGGTAAAAGGGTAGTACTTGTTTTATTAGCACTTTGTTGGCTTGATCTGTAGCTTTACATATTTAGACACACAGTATGTGAGCCTTCATTTCTACTATTGCTCGAGTCCTGGAGTGTCAGGGGTCAGTAAGCAGGGCAGAGGGACATGTAGGCCGCAGTAATCCTCTGCAATTCATTCAAAGAGGAAAAAGAATCCATTAAGGGTTTAAATGAAGAGTGATATAATCTGATTAACGTTTTTAAACAATCCCTTTGCTGCTTGGATGGTGGCTCACAGGAGGTGGCATTGTAAGTAGACTAAATGCATGCTTCTAACAGCATTCTAATTCAATTTTAAGAATCAGCCTTATGGAGGTATAATTTACATACAGTGAAACTCGCCAACTTAGAGCATCCAATGGGTTTTGACAATTATGGAACCACCACATCACAGTACAGGCCATTTCCATTACCCCAAAAACATCCCTCATGCTCTCTGCAGCCAATCCCCACCCTTCCCCACTCCAGGCCCTGGCAACCACTCATCTGCATCCTATTGTTCTGTTTGGCCATTTCTGAAATTTCACACAAATGAAATCATGGAGCGTGTGGTCTTTTGTGTTGTGTCTGCTTTTATTCATATAGGATAAGGCTGTTAAAATTCATAGTGGTGATGTGTGCATCAGTGATTTATCCTTTTTATTGCCAAGTAGTGTTCTATTATATGGATATACCATCATTTGTTGTCCACTGATGGACATTGATGGTTGTTTCCAGTTTGGGGTTATTAAAACAAAGCTGAGGCAAACATTCTAGCATAAAGGCTTGTGTGGACACGGGCTTTCATTTCTCTTGAATAAATATCTAATTTTAGGGTGGTGGGTCATATGGTAGGTGCATATTTAACTTTATAAGAAAATTGTTTTCCAAAGTGGTTGTACCATTTTGCATTCCCACCAGGGTATCAGGAGGCAGATGTGCCAAGGTCCAGGTTCACAATGGCTCAGAGACGGTGGCTCCAGGTCTGTAAAGACCAGGCATCTAAATTCGGTCAGAGCCTCTGGGCTGGTTTTCAAACTACCTACCTTCTCTTGGCTCCAAACCTACCTTCTGTGCTCAGCTTTCTGGCGCTGGGTTAAGTCTCCAGACCACATTTCCGCTTTGCTGGTGGATGCCCATTAGTCTCTGCCAACAGGGGGCACTAGAGGAAGACAAAGAGTGGAGAGGAGGAAGGCATTTGCCTCTTTGTATTTGTTCATTGTACCCAACAGTGCTGCCCTGGAAGCCACAGTTGATCCCAGTAACACTTGATTCTAGTTTTTATTTTTTTCCCACATTCTCAGGATGAGCCTTACCCACCTCCTCCTCAGAGGGCTGAAGTGCTGAGTCCCAGCTCCACGGGGCTCTTCTCCAAGCTTCTGAGGCACCAGCACAAATGAGGTGACAACATCCCCTGCACCAGCTCCCTCCTCCAAGCTTCCAGGTGGGGATGACCCCACCTTCTTCCATTGCATGGCTGCAGGAAGCAGTTATTATCTCAGTGTCCCCTTTTGCCTTTTCAGTCTTCCAAGATCTGTTGAATCAATCTCCTCTACTAAATTCTCACTGCTAAAATCATTTGTGTACTTTCTTGTTTTCCCAACACCCCACTGGCCTCACAGGCCACGAGTCCAGCTCCCAGCCAGCTAGAGTGTCCTGAGGGAATCAGGATGGTCAGGCAGGCTGAGCCTCATGTTGGAGCACAAGGATGGGCCCTTGGACAGTTTGTTAGAATAGTCGGTTAGTTAGACACGAGCAGGAGAAAGCAGCCAGTCCATCACCAAGGAAGACTCTGCACTGACCAACCCTTAAGCCCTCCTTAGTTCCCATTTTGACAGCCAGGGACACCTAGCTTATCAGGAGGCCCAGGACCACAGGGCTTCCCTGATTACAGGGCATGAGAAGACTTTATCTGAAGGTAGCCCCACCTCATTAAAATGACATCTAAATCTAATCAGCATTGTGGTTTTGGACCCCAGTGGGCTTTGCTTAAGTGCCTATGGGTGCCTGCATACTGAGAAAAAGGTTGTATAACCTCGAGCTGTCAGTCAGCCTGTCAATCAAAAGACATAAGACTCAGGGCAGGACTGTGCCATCTTAAGAAAACATAGGCAACCTAACCCTAAAAGTGGGGCTGCTCACGTTTCCAGATAGCCCGCTTTCCAGTCTCGGGAGTGTGCTTTTTGCTTGAACCCAGTAAATTCCTCACTGCTTTTTCTCACTACCTGGTTTCTCAACTGAATTCTTTCCTTCAAGAAGACAAGAATCAGGGGAACACAATGTGTGCCAGAGGTAACAAACCCAGCCCATCACTCTGACTGGCAGTGTCTTTATCTGTAAAGGGCAGCCAGCTAGAGCCTGATATAACTGAGGGCTCAGTAAATATTTGAGGAAGGAACAGGAGGAAGGAGGCATATTATACTGGTTACTGACATCTGCTCATCTGGGCCACGTTACACATTTGATTCCATTGCCCTACAGGGAATGCTTATTCCTCCCCGTTGGCACTCTGTGCTTTTGTTCTTGTTTGACTAAAGACTGGTAAAGACCCTCTAGAGTCCATGCGCCCCTCATTCCTGTGGTGATAAAGCCCTAAGTGAGGCTGGACTGGGGGGCACCCAGCTAAAGCTGTTACCCACTTACCCTGCAGCCATATGTGGCCACATGGCCAGGTGGTGGCCAGCGGGCTGGGAAGGGAAGCCACGGCACAGCTTCCTGGCTCTTCCCTCAAAGGGAGAGAGTGTGTCCCCCTGTCCCCCTCTCCCTGTTGCTGGATGCAAAGGCTGAGGACAGAGGACAGCATACTGAGAAAAATGTAGAGGGTCTCTGACCCAACCCCAGATGGTTTACACTCAGACTGTTCGTGAGAAAGGAGTGTCTTCTGCGCTCAAGCCTCTGGTATCTGACCTTTGTTGCAGCAGCTGACGCTGCATCCTACTTTATATACCACAGGCTGGGTTGACAAGTACTTTCTCTAAGAGGCCACATAGTATTTTAAGCTTTGCGGGACATCAACCTTGGTCACAACTACTAGAGTCTGCTGTCATAGCATGAAAGCATCCATAAACAGTAAATAACTGGATGGTATGGCTGTCTCCCGATAAACTTTATTTACAGAAACAGGCAGCAGATGTGGCCTTCGGCCTGTAGTTGCAGACCTCCTGAACAAGAGTTAAAAGCCTAGAGTCTCCCTGGTAACAGTTCTCAGAGGCCCCAGGTTAGAGGAGCCGGGTGGGGCTCAGCAGTGAAGCCTCGGGGAGGAGGAGGAGGCAGGAGAGCCGCCCCACCCACGGGTCCGCTCCTCCCTCAGCTTCTGCCTTGGCCCCTTGGTGCTACTCAGCTGCCACTGCCTGGACGGCTCCACCCCGGAAAGGAGGGCTCCTCTGACGGTTTGCACAGCCCAGACAGTTTGACTTTCCTAAAGCCTCCGCAAGGGGAAAAAGCGGAACTAGCAGAAAAGCCATGGAGCCAGGCGAAATGGCGGCTGCAAGAGCTCTATTCAAAACTCAGGCCTGCCTGCAGAGAGTAACTGGAAAGGAATGCCAACCTTCCCACCTCACAGGCCCTCTCTCCTCCTGCCTCCCCCGACTGCAGCAGCTCTGAAGCCCCTGCAAGCTCCCCCGGCGCCAGGCCCAGACCCCAGGGCACACCTGCCTCCTCTCATGCCTGTTCTTTACCCTGTAGATACACTTGGCCTCTCTCCATGCATTCTCCCCACTTTCCTCCCACCTCCAAGATTCCATAGCTTTTCTTCATCCGTTTGATTCGCCTAAGACTGAAAGCTGGTCAGACTGGTCAAAGGCTGGAGCTGCCTCTCTCTAGCTCTTATGGGTTGTCAGTGTCAATCAGAGCATCTTCTAGCTTCTATCACAGTGTCTTAGAGACTCTCCACCCCTTCCTGCTAAGGGTTATGTATCCTGGGCATGTGGGGCCAAAGGCTGTTTTACATTCATCTATGAATCTCCAGTGTCCTAAACAAGACCAACAAGTGCTGGTGCGGCGAGGAGCATGGGACGAAGGGGCAAGCAGGTGAGGGGCTTGCGCATGGCCTTCCCCTCCTGGCAGCTGTGTCCTCCATATTAAGGAAGCAGCTTCTTCTCTCCCAGCCACAATGTGCAATAATTGCCCAGAGGGCCCTGCCACTGTGAATTGCACACTCAGGAACCAGAGAAGTTTGCAATGTGAGGTCTTAGAAATGCTGTAACTGCCCTTCTGCCCTCTCATCTTTGGGCAATCTGCTCCCACCTCCAAGACCCTAAGACCTCCTGCCCTCGGTGCACCTGGCCCCAACCGTCACCTGGGAGCCCTCTCTCCAGCCCTGACCTCTATTCACTGCCCACGATGCCACCTCCCCCCCCTGCACCACTTGCCCCTCTGAGGGCCCCTCCCAGGCTCCTTTTCCTCAGCCCCCTTTCAATCCTCTGTACTCCCCCCAGCTGTGGGTTACATCCTCTCCCCCACCTCCATTACCATTTGAACACTGCTGGTTCCCCAGGCTCTCCTCAAGTTCCAGGCCCCTGTGTCCCAACTGCCTCTGGGATCCCCTACTTCCACCCACATGCTCCCCAACGCCTAAAGCTGGCGGCCCCTCTCTCTCCTCCATGCATCTCTGTCTCCGCCATTCGCCGAAGCTGGAAACCAGGGGGAAACTGCACCTTCTCACACTGTTAGCTGCTGTATCCAACCCACCGGGAATGCATTTTACCTGCAGAGGCCCCTCTGGCTGCCCCTTCTCTCCGTCCCAATAGCCTCATCTTAATTCAGAACTCCCTCCTCCCTTGCCTGAACAATTTCAGCAGCTGCCTAACTCGTCTTCCTGGCCCATGCAGCCCTGCAGCCTGTTGTCCACACTGGCTCCAGGGAGGCCCTTCCTAAGTAGGACCAACTCTCAGGCTTCCAATCCTTCAGATAAGCGAGGCTCCAACCTGACCCTCCTCATTCCTGTCCTCTCCCACCTCCAACCCATGCTGCAGGGTGGTCCCCAATCACAGCCACACCTTCTCTGCTTGACCAACTCCGATGTTCCTGAAAGACTGTATATGCCATCTGCTGGAAAGGTGTCACAGGATTAGAAATGTGTTACCTGCCTGGCACACAGCAGGTGCTTAAGACAGGGAAGTTGGACTTGTCATGCACAGGGCCCCTAGAGCCCCAGGGGTGCTAACAGTGATCACTGTTACTGCTTCCACACAGATCTCAGAGTGGGCTTTGCCCTTGTGATGACACGCACTGCTCAGACCTCTCAAGTCAGTGTGGCAGTGAGAGGAGGGGTCATCCTATCCCACTGCACTTAAAAGCAGGATCTAGACTCTCTCCAACACCCCCACCTCCACTCTTTCCAAGAGTCCCTTCTTCTAGAACGCGAAGGAAGAGGGGCCTTTTCTCCGCTGCTCTGCTCGTGTGCAGCCACACCCTCCCATGAGTACCTCTGGCTTCCCTGGGTCCTGCAGTGTCCCATGTGGGGTATGGCCCTGCCCCTTATTCCTCCCCAAACCGCATTTACAGATGATGGAAGGGTGGAAGGTGTAGGGGTAACCAGAGGGCGAAGGGCACACTTCCGCTGTTGGAACTTCTTAGCAGCCATCTCTGTCCTTGGGCTGGATCCCCGCCCACTGCAGGACTCTCCTCCCACATGGGACATGTCCCGTCCAACTTCCTCCCCACCCAGTGGCTCCAGATGTACCTGCTTCTTCTTTTTGTTGACTTGTCAATGTTTGAAAAAAGGCTGCAGGCCCTTGGTTCACAAGAAGGCAGAAGAGCATTGAAAAACCCCTGCCTTCCCGTTTCCATCCCCAAATCAACTACTTACACCCTCCTAGTTATTTCCTTGGAATGCCTCTCTATTTCTAAATAAAATGCTTATACTACCATTTTTGATGGATTGATGGAATTTCAGATATTTATATTGCTTTCCTCATACCGTTAATGAGAATTCGGCGTTCTTGCCTGCGTGTATGCACACACACAATTCTCTTCTCTCACCCCATCCTCCCAAAATACTTACATCACTACTTTCAGTCAAAACAACAAATTCTGTGCACAAGTTCATGATTATATATATTATTCATTCAGGAGTCATCTTCTGTATTTTGATTAGTTTTTTTCTCTCGGGCAACTTTTATTTTTCCATGAATTAATAATTGTTTTTTGACTTTTTATTTGCCAGAATGTTCCAAATATAGGTTTTATATATATATATATATAAAATTCTTTCCAGAGGCTCCATCGTGTTACCTTGTGTATCATCTCTCCTACTGAATCAGGCTTTTTCTCAAAGCTCTCTGACTGCCCCCCTAGTCGTACCGTAACTAGCTGTTCTCTTGACTTCCCCGTATGTTCCTGTGGCTTGTCTCCATTGTTCTCCTCCTCAGCTGCATCCACCATTTCCTGGATGCTACGTACTTTTTCTTTACTCCTTCACTGTGCTGGAGTGTATTCTCTGATATCTCCCTAAGAATGGATGCATTGGAGATTAATGCTCTGAGTCCTTGCGTGCCCAAAAATGTCTTTATTCCATCCTCACACTTGACTGGGCCTAGCAGGGTACAGACTTACTTGCTGAAA